TTTTCACACTGCTATGAAAGTCAGTGGTAAACACCAGCTGACCAAAATTTTCAAAATCTTCATTTGTGTTCAGCAGAAAAAAAAAACTCACACAGGCTCTAAACAAGTGGAGGGTGGGTAAATAAAGATTGAATTTCCACTCTGGAAATTAACTACTACTTTAAGACCCAACCCCAATTCTATTTTTGTACCCCTACCCCTTCCCCTTGAAACAGAGTGTGCAGGGGAAGGGCTTCAAAATTTACCTCTAAGAAATAGGACAGCACTACAACACCTGTACATGTTATCATACGTCATCTTGATTTCTTGCCTCAAATGAGAATGACGATCGCAACTGCTGTAGTTATTTCAATTGCTTTATTTTTTTGTGGTAGCTGGTGTATTCGGGGAAATTTTTGTACCCCTTGGTTTTGAGTGTGGTCCTGAAAAATCTCTGTTTCAATGGCTATCTAGCCCTTGCCCTTAGCCCTATGCCTTCCAACTAAAAAGAATTGGCACACCCCTACCCCTTTACTTGCATGTGCAAAACATTGTTTGACTCCTACGATTCTTTAAAAATCGTTCATCGAGTGATGGTACCGGTTTGGATACGTCTGTACAAGCATCGTTACTCTACCCTCCAGTATATTCATGTTGCTACTGTTGTGGTTTTAGATGTTGTTCTCCTGTCTGACCTCCTGAATGAGAAACAAATTTGGTGGAAGATACATTGCATGTCAAAAAAGATGTTCCAGATGAGTTCCAGAACTGATTGGATAATGGACATGGACCACAGGGAGCTCAATAGGAACTCAAAAAGAACTGTGTTTGGTCAGATTTTGTTTGAAATTACATCATTTCAGTTTGTTCTTTGCTTTAGTTTGAGGTATATCAGGGCCTTAACATTTTACATTTTAGCATTTAGCAAACACCAGTCAACACACACAACTGGAGCAGTTGGGAGGGTTTGGTGCCTTGCTCAAGGGAATCATCTCTCAGACAGTGCTGGAACTCGAACCTGTGACCTTTTTATCCAGTCCAGCATTGTAATCATTAAGCCATGGCTGCCACATTCACAACTGAATGTTTGATCGACCCAAAGCATATGCAGAGATGAATTTGTGTATAGCTGAATTTAATAAGTGATCCAACAATGTTTGATATGCTGCAAACACTGGTGGATCATGAGTTGCTCATGTGTAGTGCTGGGCTTTACTCTAAAACGCACTCCATATTTATTTAAATCAATGATTTATTTCAACATTTTGCCATTTGATAATGGCACTAGACCATATTGTGTTATAGGTTTTATTTTGAGTAATCATGTCACTGATCAGTTACCAGCATGTAGGTGTCATTGGAATTGATGATTGAGCTGTATGGTTGTAGAACAACCAAGAATTATGAAGCTATTTTGCAGAAACCCATTCATACGTGTTTTTCCCATATAGCATGTATGGTAATGCTCCCATATACGCTGCTTAACAAATCAAACCCATTCCATGACCTTGCTAGTCAGCAGATCTATATAATATTGAATCTCTCTGGGACATTCCAGAGCTCAGAATGCTGATGAGATTTCCACCTTCTTCATACAGTACCTCAAATAATCTGAGGCTTTTCCTCGTGAAGAATCAAGATGCATCACAAACACCGCATATAATGTCAGCAATCCAACAGGGGTATTAAAGTGGCTCTGCAAAGTGTATCTCTTTCATATTATGAGATTTTGTGTGGTTTTTATTGCATTTTTTATTAGATTTTTTGTCGTAATGTCAATGACAAGATCTATTGACAAATCCCTGAAGAAAAACGGCTGTGCAGAATCATTTTGAATGCAGATGTGCAGCGAGTTTGGGGTTTATTGAAATGTCTAGTATGCAAATATTAAATTATTATGAATTATTAATAACATTTTTACTATAGGTTTTTTTTTTATTAATTTCATTTTGAGATTCTACATTAAATATTTGTACTTTAAAGGTCCCATGAAAATAAAATAAAGTTTTCTAGATGTTAGTATCAGCATTGTTAGTTTTTAAAGGTTCAAGACACTCTTGTGTACTTAAAAAAAATTAACAGATTTCTGTGTGTTAAGCATCAATTAAGACAATGTTAAAACTGGATAATTTTGAACTTTTGTCAGCTAATTTCATCTTCTGGGTTTAAAATCATTATTGGGGCTGGATCAAAATTGGTGAAGTAGCCTGAATCTGCCTGTCCAGAGATGAATTTTCGGTTTCTTATTATTATTCATAGCTGAGTTTTCTTATCCTATGAGAAGACGCTTGCTTCTTAATTATTCATGACTGCACAAACTTTCCGAAGGCAAGGCAGACCTGCCAATCTGTGAGTATTTAGCCGTTCATGAAGGGTCGAATGTGTTTGTTTGCAGCAAGCATTTTTGTTGGGAGAGCTGTACGAGAATTGGAGAATGGCGGACTTTGTCTTTTATCATAGTTCGTTACCATTCAGACACATCGCCTATATCTGTTCTGCTGTGTTCGCCTATGTTTAAACCCTGTGTTTTATCGGCAGGGCTAGTAATTGAAGTAGACAGGGCAAGAGAACTGCTGCACTGCTATTTACTGTGTCTGCATTCAGACCAAGGGACTGAGGAGGGGAAAAGTCCTTCTCATTTATAGTGTTTATATAAATATGATTATCTTTATAATGATATAACAAATTGTGGTTATGTGTATATGAAATTACGAATAACATTTGTAGCAGGGCACTAAATTACTTGGTTTATTTCTTTACATTTTAACTTTGTAAACTATAAAATCATGGGTCTCCTTAAAGTTTGTGTCTCATTTTATAAACCAACTGACAACAGTTATTCGTTCCTCTTTCCTGCTCTGCTGGCCATGCCCACTCCTCCCTCTGCTTGCAACGCTCCCTGCCCATCATGAAGCATTTTTGGAAAAAATTCTGAGGTAGACTTCTTTTTCAGAAGTTTCATGGACCTTTGAGATATGTATTAGCTATTGTGCTCCAAAACACGTTTAAAAGATATAAAAACTGATATAAACATGTGTAAAGCTTGTAGTTTGTCACTTCCGCCTACATGGAGCAACGTTTTTCTGTTTTGCATGTCACCTCAAACTACAGTTTCTCATCAAATCATAACCAATCATATGCTCTCTAGTATCTGACATGCCCCGCCCCCTTCAAGGTGGTCTTTCTGATGCTTCTTGTTTGCTTTTCATTTGAGCTCAATTGCTCTCACTGGCAGAACTATAATAAATCTAAACACTGGCTGCTTTTTAAAAAAATGGCTACACTATGTCCCACTCTCTCCTCATGTTTCAGTTAAGATTACGTCAAACATCGAATAAAAAATGACATTTCAAAGCACTTTATGGAACCTTTAAAAGTCCTTCTCCATGAGTTTTAAATGTGTCAATTTACTCCAAAAAAATCATTTATTACCCACCCTCATGTCATTCTCAACCTGAGGCCTTTTTTTCCCTAGAAAAATGTTTTTAAAAAATCCTTGAAGCAGACCATAAGCCTTCAGTGGTTACATCTCAATATTATCAAGCTACGAGAATACTTTTGTTAGCATAAAACAGAAATAACACCTTTTAAGATTTGTCTTCTCAGTGTCAGTATATTGCGCACATTCATCAGCTCAGTGTAGTGACATATAATAATGTATAACTATTTGTTTGATAACATTCAGGTTGAACCACTAAGTATATGGTCCTTTGTGGAGATGTTATTGGTACTTCCCTGGACTTTGAACAAGTCTGAAACCTGGCTATGTATAGAGGATGATGGAGCTCTAAAACTTTGTTTAAAATATTTTAATTTGTGTTCTGAAGAAAAACAGGTTTTAGAGGTTTGGAACAACATAATGTCTAGTTCAGACTGCATGATTTTAGCCCAGATTTTGACTCGCCGACAGGTTTTGAAAAATCGCAGAGAAATGCCTGAAATCACAGGTAAATCAGGGCTCATTCACGTGAGTAACAATCACACAGTGTGAACTACCAAAAACACAATCTCAGAGAATCGCTGATTAGCTGCTGACACTTGAGATATTTTGTGTGCTAAATACCTTGAGATGTCAGTGTTTCAAAATCATACTGTCTGAAATGTGTTCTTGTTGAAAATAACACCTACATCCAATGAGAGAAAAACATCCACTAGTTTGGGTATCTGCAGGGCAGCGGGAGGTTGAGGGAGAATTTAAAAGGGCTTTTTTTGTCTATTTAGACCCAAGAAAAGGGGGGAAAACCATTTGGCAGGAGCACCCGTGTCCATGTATGTTTGAGCAATACCACAACCGAGTCGAAAAAGAAAATTGTTAAGGAGAAATTGCTAATTTCTTTCAAAACTCAAAATAAGTTTGAGTTTTGAGAAAAAATAAGTAGATTTTATACCTCACTAAAGGCTTCTTTTATCATTATGTAATTAATAACAAAAGATATACTTTGTGACCACATTGTTTCCATGTCACTTTTTGCAAGTGTTTGGTTGTGGGAAGTAGTTTGCAGAACGAGACAAAGTTGTCGGCGATTCTTCCTATGCAGTTTGAAACCTACTTTCACTGTTCCATCTTGCAGTGTAAACACAGCAGCGACTGATCGCTACCCTGGATAGTCATGCAGTGTGAAAACATCTGCGACACGACTATTGTACTTTAAAAAGTATGCGGTCTGAACTCGGCAGAAGGGAGGAATTATTGTCAAAATTTTCCTTTTACTGCTCTTGATATTTTATAATAAAGCTTAATATGTATATTTTTTATATCCACAGAGCACAGTCTGTAGATTTGGAAAGTAATTCAGTTCTGAAATGTAATATTTAATGAAGAACTCAAAAGAATGTTGTTTAAAGAGTTGAACTGAGACCCACACTGCAATCTGTCCGTTTATCTGCCTGCTGTGCTAGACACTGTAAACTCAAAGTATGTATTTTTGGAAGCTGAAATCCTCAAGAGATGCAGCTGTGATGAGATGGTCAGCATAACAGCGGTCTCACATTTCATGTTTGTTTGTGTCTCCCTCTGTCAGGTATTAGGTGGATCGGGTCGTCTGTACACGTGCTTCACGTCCTGTCACTACTGCCCGTGCCCGGCCTTCTCTTTCACTGTGCTCAGGAGAAACGAAAGTCTCATGGTGAGGTCACTTCCTCTTTCTGTTCACACATACACACACACACAGCTGCACAGATTGAACCTTAGACCTTCATCCTGTTTTTATAATTTTTTAGCTTTTTCTGCATTGCTCATAAAATTATATGTCTGTCTGTCAGTCTTTGTGTGTCTTTTTGTCTGTTTTGTTCTTTTTAAATTAACTATTAACCTTAATCATTCAAGATTTGACTGCTCCAGTGGCACATTGTCACCGGCATAACAGGATGTGCAAATGACATTCAAAACTCACGCATCCTCACCGAAATGTAAATACTAGTGGGACTGTAAAAATGAATCAATGATTAATCATTTAATAGAACCATGTTTAATGATTAAAAGTAATGACTAATATAAAGCATGTCACTATCGCCATCTCAAATGTACATATACAGTTGAAGTCAGAATTATTGGCCTCACTGGATATTTTTCTCTAATTTCTGTTTAACGAAAGAAGATTTGTTTAACACATTTCTAAACTTAATAACTCATTTCCAATAACTGATTTTTTTTTTAAATCTTTGCCATGATGACAGTCGATAATATTTTACAGGATTTATTCAGCTTAAAGTGACATTTAAAGGCACTTGCCTAGGTTAATTAGGAAAGTTAGGGTAATTAGGTAAGTCATTGTATAACAGTGGTTTAGTCTGTAGACAATCAAGATCAATATATTGCTTAAAAGAGCAAAAAAATATTGACCTTAAAATGTTTCTTTGAAAAATTTTAACCACTTTTATTCTAGCTAAAAAAAAAACAAGTAAGACTTTCTGCAGAAGAAAAAATCTTATCGGAAATACTGTAAAAATGTCCTTGCTCTGTTAAACATCATTTGGGAAATATTAAAAAAGAAGAAGAAAAAAAATCACTGGAGGGCTAATAATTTTGACTTCAGCTTTGGGCTGTGCGATTTAGGGAAAATATCTAGTTACAATTTTATTTTTATTATTATTATTTTTTTATTTTAATTTTAATTTTGTAGTCAAGCTTCAGCTCAATATTCTGTATCTTATCTTCTTACTGCTAAAATGCAATAAGTGTTAGTTAAAAAAAGGAACTGAAAAGTTCTATTTAAGTTTGTTTCAAAATATTCAGAAATTAAACACACATTTTTTCTTCAGAGCAAACAGTACTGAGTTATGGTGTTCGTTATCTCCTGGTGCCTTCGTGATGTATTTTCATATGGTGTAACAGCTGCAAATAACTCTGAAATTGTACTTTGCTGTTACTTGTTAAGATTGAGTGTCACTGGCAATACTTTGTTGACTTTTTAGCGAGACACTTCTAATACATATTATATATCGCAGCCTGTTGCGATTTAGCCAATCGCAACAATTCAAATTGCGATTCAATTTGATTAATCGCACAGCCATACTGCAACTGTATGTGCATATGTTATTTTCTAAACAAATGTCTATAGGATACTGTGCATATCAAAGAAAATTTGGAGAAAAGGCTAATGTTTACTGAGGATGATGATGCATTAAAGGTTTATACTATTTAGTTGTTATTGTCTGATATTGCTATCCACAATAGACAGTGAGTAAACACAACACAACCACCCCAGATGGTAAACCAATTCCGTGTTCTGTTTTTCCAAGCTGGTACTATATGCAATTTTTAATAAAGTCAGACGTGCTTGCTTAATTTTTTCTTTAGCATCTGCTGCACTTTTTTGCACTGTATTGTAAGTCATATGCGCCTTAAAACTGTGCATGTCTATGATACTTAAACGGCCATCGATAAGGTGTGTTTTTTTTAAAGATTATCACCAATTTATCGATTGTTGGTTCATGGATTGCATATTTGGTTTCAAAACATACTGGCTGCTTTTTTATACACTTATTCACTAACAATGTTCACATGCATTCATTCATTTGTTTTTTGTCGGCTTAGACCCCTATTTATCAGGGGTTGCCACAGCGTAATGAACCGCCAACTATTCTAGCATGTTTTACGAAGCGGATGTGCTTCCATCCGCAGCACAGTATTAGGAAACACCCGTGCGCTCTCATATTCACACACACTCATACACTACAGCCGATTTAGTTGATCCAATTCACTTATAGCGCATGTCTTTGGACTGTGGGGGAAACCGGAGCACCTGGAGGAAACCCACGGCAACAAGGGAAGAACATGCAAACTCTACACAGAAATGCCAACTTATCCAGCCGAGGCTCAAACCAGCGACAATTCTAACCACTGAGCCACCATGTTGGCTTGAAGTTTAAAACGATTTTAAAACTAATTCTAATAGTTATCTTTAGGTTTTATTTGTTTTCTGGTCTCCGTTGACTGTCTGGCCTTTGATGGTGTGGCTATGTTTCAGAAGGAGCTACATTATCTGTTGCTGCACTGTTGCATGTGCATCAGCCTGTTTTTTGAGCCCAGGGGAGAGAATCCGACTAAAATTAGTCCTCCAGTCTGAGAAAGAAAATCCAGAGACAACCCCAAAAATGCTCTGCTTTCCTCTGATAGCATGACCTCACTTAATTATCGAGCTGCAGCAGAATTGAAATGCATTTATACCCATGTGATCTGAGAGGAAAGGTTTCCTCGTTTATTTATAGTCCGCGGATGGGTCAGATGTTATTAACCTGCTGGTTCTTAGCTGCCATATGATCAAAAGATGAAATGGTATAGCATGGCCTGAGATCCTCATCATCTCGTGTGCTTTTGGGTTGCTGATGCTCGATAAACAAGTAGACGTGGCATTTAAGTAGTCTTCAGCTTTTACTAATTGGCACAAAGTGTGGCCATAAAATCTTCCCTACAAAATTACACTACCATGTATGTATGTACAGTATATGTACAGTGCATCCAGAAAGTATAGCGCCTCACTTTTCCACATTTTTTGTCACAATGCGTTAAATTAGTTTATTTCCTCAAAATTCGACACACAATACCCCATAATGACAATGTGAAAAAAAGAGTTTTTGAAAATAAAAATCTAAAATATCACATGTACAGAAGTATTCACAGCCTTTGCTGCAGCAATTAAAACCTCAAGTCTTTTTGAATATGAATCTTGGCACACCTGTCTTTTGGGATTTTCGTCCATTTCTCTTTGCAGTACCTCTCCAGCTCTATCAGGTTGGATGGGAAGCGACAGTGTACAGCCTTTTTTAGATCTCTCCAGAGATGTTCAATAGGATTTAGGTCTGGGCTCTGGCTGGGCCACTCAAGGACATTTACTGAGATGTTGTGAAGCCAGACCATTGATATTTTGGCGATGTGCTTTGGGCCATTGTCCTGCTGGAACATGAACTGTTGGCCCAGTCTAGAGGTCAAGAGCACTCTGAAGCAGGTTTTCGTTCAGGATGTCTCTGTACATTGCTGCATTCAACTTTCCCTCTTTTCTGACTAGCCTTCAAGTTCCTGCTCCTGAAAAACATCCTCACAGCATGATGCTGCCACCCCCATGCTTCACTGTAGGGGTGGTATTAGCCTGGTGATGAGCGGTGCCTGGTTTTCTCCAATCATAACGCCTGGCATTCACTCCATAGAGTTCAATTTGAGTCTCATCAGACCAGAGAATTTTGTTTCCTATGGTATGAGGGTGCTTCAGATGCCTTTTGGCAAATTCCAGGTGGAAAGTGACTTCTGTCTGGCAAATCTACCATAGAGGCCTAATTGTTATATTGCTGCACAGATGGTTGTCCTTTAGTAAGGTTCTCCTCTCTCCATAAAAGAAAGCTGGAGCTCAGACAGAGTGACCATCGAGGCCACTGTGTCACTGCAACTTTCAGAGCAGCAGAAAGTTTTCTGTAACCTACCCCAGCCTTGTGCCTCGAGACAATCCTGTAAATCCCTTTGAGGTCTACAGACAGTTCCTTTGTCTTCATGCTTGGTTTGTACTTTGACATGCACTGTCAACCGTGGGACCTTATATAGACAGGTGTATGCCTTTTCAAATCATGTTCAATCAACTGAATTTACCACAGGTGAACTCCAATTAAGCTGCTGAAACATCTCAAGAAAGATCAGTGGAAACAGAATATACCTGAGCTTCATTTATACTTCTCTACATGTGATTTTTCAGTTTTTTTTTTATTTAAATAAATTTGCAACAATTTCAAAGACTTTTTTTCACATTGTCATTATGGGGTATTGTGTGTAGAATTGTGACAAAATAAATGAATTTAATTTATTTTGGATTAAGGCTGTAACATAAAAATGTGGAAAAAAGTAAAGTGCTCTGATACTCTCTGGATGTACTGTACATAAAGACTACATTTTAGACTATTTTATTCACCAGTGAAAGCCGTGCTTAACTTGATTGTCCAGACGCATGGAGTTCTGAATGTTTGGTGAATGGCCAACATGTGATATTAGCAAGAAGGTGGTGGAGTGATGTTTTATGGCTGGAGTATTGGGAAATGAGATGGTATGTCCCTGTAGAGTCCTGGACCGTGTCAAAATATCATGTTCAATATATGTAGAGTTCCTAAAAGATCATTTTCTGCAATGCTAATAAAAGAAGAATCGTGTCTCCAGAAATCTTATGCGTTTCATGCAGGATAACACAGCATCACATGCTGTTGTATGATCCTCATTTACTACAAAGGTTTTACATTACTACATCCTTTTGAGTTCACTTTTTCTTCCTCTTTCAGCTCTATCATTGTCAGCCTTCTCATTTGTGCCAGCACTTAAATTCTCCTTTGTTGTTGTCCTGTTTATATTTCCATAATGTGATAGATGTATAGCCATGAATACTGTTCATCCTGCTGATGCATTTTTCATAAGTGTCATCTCCATGAGTTGAAAACATATGGGCTTTTTGTGGACTTTATTATTATTATTATTATTATTATTATTATTATTATTATTATTATTATTATTATTATTATTATTATTATTTATGAATTAATTCATTCATTATTTTTCCTTCAGCTTAGTCTCTATTTCAGAGTTAACCACAGCGGAATGAACCACTAACTATTCCTGCATATGTTTTACGCCGCGGATGCCCTTCCAGCCACAACCCAGTACTAGGAAAAACCCATACGCTCTCACATTCTTACACATACACACACATTCATACATGCACGCACATACACACACACTCAAAATTTTGTTTATTCAATTCACCTATAGTGCATGTCTTTGGACTGGGGGAAACCGGAGCACCCGGAGGAAACTCCACACAGAAAAGCCAACTGGCCCAGCCGGCTTGAACCAGCAACCTTCTTGCTGTAAGGCCACAGTGCTAACCTCTGAGCCACCATGCTGCCCGATTTTTCTTTGTCTTATTATTATTAGTACTATTACAGTATTCGTGTTAAACGCATCTCATCTTGAATTTGTACTCCTTCCTAATATTACCAAACATTGATATTGATATTTATTCATTTGGATAAACACCTTGAGATGTACCATCTCATTTTCAAGGGGGTCCCACAATTAATCACAATCACATAATAATAACACAAAGAGACAAAACAAAACATAACTTACACAACATACAAAAAACATAACAAAAAAAAACAAGCTAAAAAAAAGAAAGAAAGAAAAAGGGGGAGGGTGATACTTGGTACTTCAGTTGCATATTGCTTTTGTTAATCTTTATTAATAAGTGTCAGTTTATTAAAAAAAGTCTTTTCCGTATTTGTGTCCTCTAGTGTAAACACCTTTTGGCGGTCATCCTGAGTCAGGCCATGGGTTTGTGTCAGCAGGAGCAGGTCTCAGATCAGCAGATGACCCACATTCTCTCAAGGCAACCTGAGGCCAGCACATAAATAACTGATTCTGGAGTGTCGAGGGACTCTTATGTGAACATGCATGTTGGAATACAGGTATGGATTAGACTGGACTTGTCAAATGCCGTTATGACTAATTAAATTTGTCGATCAATTTTACTAGGAGATAATCAGTCGTGGAATGTAAAAGATTGCTGTAAAAGTAATTGGATAAGCAAAGCTGTAATACTAAATGATAAATGTTTATGTATGTGCTGCTCACTAAATATTTTATCTGCTGCCAGAGAATGTACATCTGTTCATTGAGCTCAATTGAGTTTATTTTTGGAGTTTCCGTTTGTTTGAAGAATCGGCAGCCGAGACTCAACAACAAACAATGAGGCCGTGAGGCTTAAATACTGTATTTAAATACTGTGTGATTTGTCTATCATAAAATAAAAAATAAAAACATTCATTAAACTTTAAGTAGATTTTGTCATCAATTCTAAAAAGATGATTAACATTTTTTTATTTTTTAGGACAACCATATAAAAGCATATTATTTTAACACATTAAAATATGATTGTTAGTGTAGTCATTTTGTTTCTTTTACAAAAGCAAAATACTTCTACTTGTATTATTATTATTATTTTAATAATAATAATAATTATAATTATTATTATTATTATTATTATTACTAGCTTAATTGGAAGACCCTGATAGTGTCATAGGGCTCTGTTTTAACGATCTAAGCACAATGTGTAAAGTGCATGGTGAAAAACAAAAAATGTATATTGTGAATCCACATTTGTTGTTTTAAGGATGGAAAAATATGCCCCGGCACATGGTCTAACAGGGTTGTGCTTTAAGAGTCGTTGAGTTGTGTCACACCATGGCGCATTTGCTATTTACATGGCGAAAAACTGAACGCTTCACTAACAAGAAAACTGTTAAACAGACCATCTGCAGCGCGAGGATAAAGAATGTGCCTCCTTCATTCGGCTTCTTTACTTTCTCTTTACTTTACTTTTACTCGTTACACCCTTACTTTCATGGAGAAAGGAAACGGTGAAAACTCACTCTACTGAAGACATCACCTAGCCAACATATTTAATTTAGTATAAGTGCAAAGATTAGTTTCTAAGTGTTTTTAAATTCAGTTCTAATTTCCAACAAATCAAAACATGTAAATAAACAATAATAGCAAAGTGTGGTCAAACAACTTATAACTTATGGAGTTATATCAAAACATACATCCTGTTCTTATGCCCCTTAGGGTGATGCATACATATCCAAAACCTGACAAAATCTAAACTTATTTTCATTAAAACAAAGAAAAGTATGCAATTATAAAATACTACTGCTATTACTACTAATAATAGCTTTTTACAAATGCAAATTGTCATGAACAAACTGAAAAAAGTGCCCTCCCCCATTCCAAGGAGATTTTTTTATTTTTTTTAACCTTTTAATTCTTTATTTATTTTTATGTGTAAAGATGTTTGTGTATTGCTGTACATTCGCATACATCTGACTTTAGACCAGCTCTTAGTTGGTCAATGGCACAGTCTATTTCAGTTCCTCAAAACAGCAACGTGCCAAAAATGTGCCTTAACACACCTTCTTTTTAGACCAGAACTTCCATGAATTCACAAAGTGGCTCAAATGGATTTGCTGTTTAGACAACGTGGCACAAAGCATGAACATTGCAGTTGCGCTGGTCTGAAAATGGCAACAAATTACACCTTGTGCCTTATTGCGTCGAGTGTATGATAGGGCTCATAATGTATTATTTAGATGATTGGTTGCAGTACTGATGAGTTAAATATTTAATTTTATCAGTTAAAATCACAAATTATTAATTTGTCAATTAATTAATTCTCAATTTAAATTTTTTTTTTATTAATTCATAATTTTTTAATGTTACCACAATTTTACTCTTTATAAGGGAAATTGTTAAAAAGTTGACAATAAATTTATATTTAGAGAAATGTTAAAGGAAGAGATTTTATTGCTATCTAATATGACAAAAAAGGTGTATGAAAGGGGAAGCAGAAAAACCAAGATCCATAAAATCCATATTACTTCCACCATATTCAGCAGAGGATTTTTTTTCAATCGTAAATAAGGAATTGAAACATATATTGCATTGTGTACGATGCATAACCTGAATAGTAAATGACACTGAAAGATACATTTTCAGACAGTATACAGAGTCAGACACATATTTCATTATATATAATGATTCTTCTGCTGTGGAACCAAAGTTTGTTTTTGCAGTATCAGCCTTATTCCCTAACAATAGCATGATGAGAATTTATCAAATGCTGAAATAAAGCAGAAAACAGGAAGCATTGACTTGATGAATACAACATCAGCTAGACTGGAATCATGGATTTTTGTGGCTTTGGCTTTTGTAGAAGTGTGTTTATTTGAACAAAGGCTGTGTAGAGATTTTCTCACAACACACTTTCCTTCTGAACAAACAAGGCCCATCATGATATTCAGCATTCATTTAAAAAAGGCACAGAAGCTATATAAACAGCTTTTATTAACAAAATAATTCACCATACATAGAGATGTACTCATGTTAAATAACAAGACTCCATTTTGAAGCTAAAACGTTTTTGTTGTCAGCACATACAAGAGAACATTACAGTGCGTGTTTATTAGTGACAAATGAACACATCAAAAACATACACATTTAAAAAGCACTTTTTTTTTCTTTCGTTTGCTTCTTCATAGGCCAGAATAAAATTCAGGTACACTTGACTTGTTAAAAGTCCTTTTTGTTTTCATCGCAGACAGTACATCAGAGAATAAGCAATGAAACAACAACAAACACGGTCGCAGTGCAGTACAGATTCGTCTCCATTGGAATGTCCAAGATCTCTGGCACACTCCTGTAGTTTAGCCCTTACAAATAGTAACAAATATCTGTACATTTACTTCATTTGGAGGCTACAAAATGCTAAAATACTGCTAAAGAATGTCCTTTCAATACATAGAAAGAGGATTCGAGCGTTGGCACAGCTGCAGATGTGCACTCGCTTGAGTTTAAAGGCATGTCACTGTCAGGGGCAAACACATCAGTGCATCTGTCAGTTTGTGTCACTGACAAAAGCAAAGCTAACAAAATCCACTCTCTGTTACACAGATGTTTCCAGAGATAAGTAACTGGTCTGTTCACACTGGAAGCCAAAAGAAATGAATGCGATGCAAGAGATGATTGACGATTGTTGATGTAGTTTTACAGTATGTGCAGCATTGTGGAGCAGTGGGTTTTCAGGACACATGTCAACCAAAGGTTTTTTTTTCTCCTAAAAACGCTCAGTTTATGAGCATTTGTCCAAGTGTTTAGACTCTTTTGTACAAAACATTCTGTACAAAACGCACATCTTGCTATGCTGCTGGCATTTAAAAAAATGCTAATTTTCCATTAAAAATAACAGAAATAAAAAAATGCTCAAGCCTTGCACTGTAAGCTGCTCATCTAATGTTGACATTTGAAGAGTTTAGATGCAAAAACCTCGAAATGACATTTGATATTTTCTTCTAAAATTAGAATTTTCTCAGATTCCTGTGAGTAGATTCAGTAATTTTAATTGTATAGTGACAAATAAGTAAATTTCATTGCCTTCAAAGTAGGGGTGCTGGATTATGGGAAAAATCATAATAATGATTATTTTGGTCATAATTGTAATCATGATATTACAAAACAATTTACAATTGAAGTCAAAATTATTGGCCCTCGTGTAATTTCTATTTTAAATTATTTATTTTATTTTATTATTATTATTATTATTATTTATAAATATTTTCCAAATTATGTTTAATAGAGCAAGTAAATTTTCACAGTATTTCCTATAATATTTTTTTTCTTCTGGTAAAAAGGCTTATTTGTTTTATTTTGGCTAGAATAAAAGCAGGTTTAAATATTTTTAAAACTATTTAAAGTCACTAAACGCCACGTTTTGACAAATATGCATGTATTTAACCATCAAAGCACTTAGATTAAGGCCCAATTCCAATTCTACCCCTTAGCTCTTCCCCTTACCCCAAGAGAATAGTAATAATCATTTTATCTCGATTAATGTTTTTTCATAATCATTAGAAGCCAAAATTGAAATCAAAACTGAATTTTTATTAATTGCAAAGCCCTACTTCAAAGTGAAATAACTGAACATAAACATAATAAACTGAACAAAATGCTCATTTTAGGAGAAAATTTAAGACAGCATTTAGAGGTTTTTGCATGTGAACTCTACATTTGTAATTTTTGCCAGATAGAAAACCACTTCATGTGCATTTTTGTAACTCTAAATCTACGTCTCATTTCAGGGGCTTCTCCAAGTGTTTAAACTTCAAACCTTTAACGAAAACTCACTTTGTACAAAACACACACCTCGCCATCCTGGTGGCGTTTTGAAAACGCAGAACTTCCATTGAAAATAACAGAAACACAAAATGCTCCAGAAAAATAAACACTTCGGTGGATTGCGCCCTCACTCCGTGTGGTCTACATGACATAGAATTTAAGGGGATGTAGAAATGTTTGCCACTCATCTCAGTTGGGGAATGTCCTTTATGATGGTTTGTATCTCAACAAATAAGACTTTTATTTCTCTTAAAAGTATAATATTGATTTAAGTATTTCAAAATTAATTAAGAAAGTGTCCTCTGTTATACACGGTTATGTTAGACCAACAACTAGGGCTTAAATTAAGATGCATTTTATTTCAACCCATTCATAGGTGGACAATTTTAATACAGGTGGTAATAAGGTTTTAAAAAATTCAAGCTTGTGCATTTCTGTCCTCATCCAGAGGTAGTTCAACACTACTTCATTTAGAATGATTGTGTACTGAAAATTCTCATCTGGTCCATTGTGTTTAAAGGTGCAGTATATGGATGTTGTTGGTATTACAATCCAAATTCAAAATATTGAATAGGGTTTTTTTTTCAACCCAACCCCTTCTTAGATTGACGCACATGTACAGTAGGTTGCCAGATTGACAACACCAATAAGAGCAAGCATACCTGATGATCAACCCTTGCACTGTAAGCTGCGTATCTAATGTTCACACTTGTAATATTTGTATTGTTTTAAAATTAGTAAACCACCTCATGTGCATTTTTATAACTACCTCTCATTTCGGAGGTGACTGCTGTTCTCTGTAGGTCACATTTTTGGCTGCGGCCACATGTATATTAAGACGGCCTTCCTGGCTGAATTGAAAAACACTACTTTGCGCTAACACAATCTGGCGTCTCGAAATATAATTGGCTAAACTGGCAGTGGGCGGAGTTACACAGAGACAGACATTCCGACACAGAACCCACTTTTTCAAATGAACATAACCTTACTTTAGCATCGCTTTCTTTTTTGTTATGCTTTAGAAGAGTCTAAAAATCACATACAGCACCTTTAAACTGCTAAGAAGGACTTTTCTACTGATCTAAGGTGATTATGGGATGCATTGTGAGTGCTGCAAAGCAAGTCATTCAAACTACCTCGTGTTGGAATTAAACAGGCTACATTCAAAATCAGTTGCCACTGACTTCCTTGGCCCTCGTTAGATTTCTTGCTTGTTTGTGAGCCATGTAATGTGTTCATTCAGCGGTACTCATGTGTTACTCTGTGAGGTGATGCAGAGCATGACCAAATAAGATGGAAGAGTGAAACACAGGCATCATGAAACGCATTTAAATGCATATCGATTCCAGGTGGAAAATACATTTACATGCACTCAGACTGGAATGCCTTCATGTTAACACAGTTAGTCTGATTCCAGTGAAATTTCAGTCTCACTGAAAGCAAAGCACACACGTTGACCTGATGGAAGCTTGCATGGAGTTAGTCATGCTAATGTGTATGTTATATTTATGACCTGCTGCAAAAGCTCTTCTGACTTGCATGTCAGCTTCTGTTTTAGATGCATCATCATAGCAGAAGCAACAGCTAGATTTGTGGGGGTTTGGACACTAGGTTGACTTGAACTTTTGTTCGGAATGAATGTAAATGGCTTTTAGGCTTCACCAGTTTTAAATCATATTGGCGTCCTTCCTACCGACAGCATTTGGTACGTGCAAATATACCAATTGACTTTGAGTGTAAAACAACTAAACAAATCTGTACATTTTGATTCCAAAACATAATTGGAATTTTTCAAAAAGGCATCAAAATATCAAGCACATCGAACTACTTTAAGTTGCTCCAAGTGACATTCAAATGGGCATTTCTGGAATGTGTAGCAGGCACACTAGCAAGGATGCCACAGATCGAAGGCTCTAGTGTGCATCTTGACCCATGCATCTACTGTATATTTCACCTTTAATTCATCTTAAACCCAATCAGACCTTCAGATTTTAGCGTAATTCAGTCTCCAGAACACAGATGAAATTGTTTACTGCTCAATTCTTACTAGCTGGCTTTAGTTACCCATTCTAGCCTTCAATATGGCACCAATGTTTATGGCATTGAAGGCAGGCAATCAAACATAATCGCTAAAGGTTGTGCCTCTTGTTGCCGAAGAGGTTTTCCATGAACCGCTCTTACTAGCTGGACTGTTACACCTAGATGAGCCAGTTAAGGCACTGACGAATGAAGAGCAGACCTGTAGTTATACTGTAAAGGTGCTCGCTGAGTAATAGAAAGGAGTCAGGGTATTGACATTACAGAGTGCTATAAAGTATCCAGCTGCGGCAGTGACATTGTAAATCTCTCTCTAGAGGAGACAGTCTTTGCTTTGGGTCAGCCGGTGGGGTTTCGGTCTGGGTAGTTTGTCACAGTCAGACATTGAATAACAAAGTGGGTCCTAAGGGCTGTGACACATTAGAAAAGCAGACAGACATCAGAAACATCATTGGATAATGATATGACAAGAATTCCACAATCAAACTATGGCAGACAAATCTAATTTAACTTGGAAATAATCAAATAAAGCTTTTTTTAAGAAGCAAAGGAAAGACTCTGCACTGTTTCTTGGTCATTAATTAATTTAAGCTTAGTTAAATTGAATTAATAACAGTAACACTGATCAAGCTATCTCAAATTGTCTTGAATGCTGCTGTCAAAAGAGAAGCAAACCAAATACTTAAACGTGTTCATGTCAGGGTAATGGTCAAGTTGTAACAGGATTTATCTGTAGGGTTTTTAAATAAAAATGTTGTCATCAGCAGTTATAATTGCGCATAAACATTTTAGGCACAGCTCGCACATGTGCTTTCTTGTCTACAAGATGTCAACAATAATCCAGGCCATCGATTTACTGATAGAAACGCAAGAGAACAACAACAAACTACTGAAGAAGGCAAAGGTTTTCTTCAATCCTCTTCAGTCATTGGTGAAAAAATATGGATACAGGTGTACATGTGGTCTAGAATGCTTTGAGCTTGTTCGTTTTTTAGCTTTCCTATATAGAGCTATGGTGAGAAATGGTTTCAGAAATCAATTCTTAAATTTTCAGGATGCATTGCTATTCTCTCTTGAATAGATTTTGAGCTTTACAGCTTTACATTTTAATGCTACAATTGTTGTTTGGTTAACGGGAAATGGATGGTTAAAGGATAGTTCACCCAAAACTGACAATTGTCATTTTATTCACCCTTCACTTCTCTCAACCCTCTTTGAAGAATGTAGCCCTTGACTTCCAAAGTAGACAAAACCAATGCTGTAGAAGTCAATAGTTATGAGTTTCCAGCATTTTAAACAATGATCCAGGCTATTATTGATTTACAGACAGAAAAACAACAACAAACTCCTGAAGAAGGCTAAAGCAATAGGTCCTGTGTACTCTTTGTATTAAGTTTCCTTCAGTCCTCTTTTATCACTAGTGGACAAATATGAATGCAGGTGTGAACAGGGTCTAAAATGCTTTGAGATTTTGGTGCTGTGGTGAAAAATTGCCTGAGAAATCAATTCGTAGATTTATAAAATGCATCGTTATGCTCTCTTGAATAAATTCTGAGGTTAGATTTTAACACCAAACCAAATTTTAAAAATCGGATTATAGATTATAGAAAATATTATTCATCTGAGCATCTAAACATCAGGGGGAAACGGTTATGTGTCTTGTCTGATCACTGTTGTTTAGATTAATGGAAACACATGTTAAACAAAAAGTTCATTCAAAACTGAAATTTCAGTCATCATTTTATACACTTTTCTCCAACCTGTTTAAATAACTTTAGAAATGGTATCTATTGACTTCCAAAGTAAAAAAAATAAAATAAAAAAAATAAAAATACTATAGCAGTCAATGGTTACTTGTAGTCAATAGAATAGTGAGTAAATTTTCATTTTGGGGTGAACTATCCCTTTAAGACGAGGTGAAAAATAGATCATTGCACGTTAGTTAAAAGATATCTGAAATGGTGTTAAAATGAGCTATTAAAGACATTTCATAACTTATAACATTTATACATTTCCTAGTACGCATGTGTCAAGCATCTGTGTTCATGCGCACGCATTGGAGTGTATTATAAAAAGCTTTATATTTGACCATGCATTTACACTAACGAACATGTACGAACAGTGAACTTTGGGCTTTATTTAATGTTTAATGGCTCTAAATGTTGTTGCATTAGATCAGTGTTTCCCAACCTGGTTCCTTAGGCACACCAACACGACACATTTTCAACCTCTTCCTAATCAAAGACACCTGAATCAGCTCATCAGACCATTAGAAGATACTCCAAAACCTGAAATGAATGGATCAGATAAGGAAGATCTCCAAAATATGTAGTGTTGATGTGTCTCCAGGAACATGGTTGGAAAACACTGCATTAGAAAACAAAATGCGTTGTTTCATCAGTTTATTTGTTTTTTCATTATAAAAACAGCACGATATAAAAACTGTAACAAAGCTTATGACGATGCTTTTGTTTTGATGCAATATATCTTTAAAGTATGCCTCTCCAAGTGATGCTGTTTGCATCCAGTATTGTATTGTGGTAGTTTGGGTGTCAGATTTGAAACTGTGTTAGGCCAGTACATAGTGCAACATATTCGAAAACATGCCTTTTAAAATGGCAAAACGATTAAAAACAGGGTCATTTTTTTATCTGTGTGTTCATTCTTAAATTTGTCTTTACCTCGTGTGGCTTCCTGAGCAGCTTAAACTAATCATCTCGCTCATTAAAAAAAAAAAAAACATCAAAAGTTTCTAATACATTCAATCTAAAGCCGTTTCTCTGTGTGTCCTGTTCCTCAGTGTTGCATCCATCTGACTTCCTTGTGAATTCAGATTGTTCCTCTGGGATTTTCTACAAGTGATCATTAAAAATTCATCTCAAGCTGCCCGTAATTACTGTTTTATTGTTCAAGAGGATCTTCTTGTATATATGGTTCAATTCATGGTTCAACACTTCACCTGAACACTCTTAGCTTTCAGCTTTTTAAGCTTTTAGTTTGACCTAAGGTTGCTGTTTAAAGGCTCGTACACACCAGGAAGCTTTTCACCGAGGTTTAACCCCTCCTGACTAATCAAAGGGTGCCAATGTGATCCAAATAGATCAAATAGGATTCAACGATGAGTTTAATTTCATTTTTCCTTCATGACTTGCAAGTTCATTACGTTCCATTTAATATTAGGGAGGGGTTTTGGTGTGAAAAAAAAGTATCAAAACGCTGATGAAGTATCAAAACGCTGATGATTAGTGCAAGCGAAAACTGTCTCGGTGTGTACTACAAGCCTCAAGCCTGTTAGTGCTTTTAAAAGTTAATTATAAATATTTCCACAGTTTAATAGCATCTATTTTTTCACAGTTGAATCCTGACAATGTGTCCACAATGTCACATGGGATCTTTAGGATAGTGGCATATACAGTGGGGGAAGTAAATATTGAACAAGTCAAGTTTTTTTTTTCCTAGGAATAATATTTCTAATGAAGCTGTTGACATGGAGTTAAGCCAAATTATGATTAAAAAACAAAACAACAATACAAGCATAAAAATAAAACCAATAAATATTTATGTGTGATAACACTGGAATGACACAACGAAAAAAGTACTGAACTACTGAAACGTATTTCATTTTTTCTATAAAGGCTTTTTTTCTAAAAAGGCTTTTTTTTGATGGCAGCTTAAAGACTACTCTCATATGGAGAATGAAGTCACATACATTGCTCAGTTGTGAGTTTTTGTAAACATTTTGATGGTTCTGTCTGATTCTATCAAATCTTTATTTTGTATTTTCAATTGGATTTGAGTCAGGTGATTGGCTAGCCCATTCTAAAGCGCAATTTTTCATTCTCTGAAACCAATTGAGTTTCCTTGGCTGTGTTTTGGATCATTACCTTGCTGAAATATCCACCCTGGTTTCATAGATGTTAGACTAAAGCAGCTATTATTAATATACACTGACAAAAAGCAGAAGGTTGTTAAAAAAACGAGAGCTGCTGTCTGGGCTTTCCATGCCTTTCTACACCTCCCTTTCTTCACATGTTTAATACTTTTTTCCTGTGTCATTTCATATTCTTACACATAACTTTATTAATTTGGATTTCTTTGCATATATTGATTATTTTACGAATTATTACTAACATCCGGTGTCTTCTGAGAAAAATGGTGCATGTTCAATACTTATTTCCCCTCTGTACATGAAGTCACCGTCTCAATACATGATTATGCTGTTTGCAGGTCTTTTGTTCTGTAAACATTTCTCTCATATATCTGACACCGGCGTCTATAGCAGAGGGTCAATAGTCATTGTGATCTGGTCTCTGTTACTGCTGCTTCCATTGGAGCTGCGATACAACTCGTCCCGTTGGCAAAGAATATGCCTGTTCAGAATCTTCCTAAAAGTGACTCTGAACTCCCGAATGCGGTACGCATAGATGATGGGATTGACGGCGGAGTTGGCGTGCGACAGGATAATGGCAATGTTCATGATGAAGCTGGGCTTTTTCAGCTCACTATAAAAGAGCGTGAGGCAGTTTAAGATGTGCACGGGCAGCCAACAGAGAGCGAACAAACCCACGATGATGGACAGCGATTTGGCGGCACGGATCTCCCGCTGCAGCAGACCGTGATGTTGATTCTCGCCATTGCTCACGCTGCACTTCAACTCGATCTGACGGAGCTGTTTGCGAGCCACTGTGAAGATCTTGGCATAGATTCCCAGCATGATGAGGAGAGGCGGCAGAACGCAACCAAAGAAGTTGAAGTAGACCATGTAACTCATGTCCACCACTTTCTCGAAGAAACACTCAAGGTAGCAGCTTTGCAAAAAGCCTGTTTCCGTCTCCGCAGCATCGTCATCGCTGCTGTTGCTAGTCTGTAGAGAGCCGCTCTTGTTTCTGGAGCAGGCCAAATCTTTACGGTTCCAGCCCACAAAGGGAATTAGTCCAATGATGAAGGATAGAATCCATAAAATGGTGATGATCTCTCTCGCCCTTTTACCTGTGACCAGCTCCCTATACCTGTACAAGGATAGAAGTAGAGAAAAGTTCAATAAAGAGACATTTTGGACTTTGTAATATTGTTAGTTTTTAGCAAGATGCAGCCTGCAGGTTAATGATGATATAACTAGATAAGTCACCATTCAATATACAGCTGTTGTGGTACAGTGGTTAGCACGTTAGGTTATGACGCTGCCAACCCGGCTTCGGTCCTCGTCTGAGTAACTTTTTTTTTTTTTTTCATTTTTATTGTTAAGACATATAATACTGTAAGGGTTGTTGAACATTTGAAGTTCTAAAGCAGCTGTTTTCTCAAAAAAAGACGTGATAGTGTAATTAGAAACTGAATTGGAAATGACCTTATTTTAATATAGTCAGCGGTGAACTGAGGTGGGCCGGTTTAAGGCTTGAAACTCCAGGGCTGAAAAAGAGTCCCACTCCGGCCCTGCATATACATGAATATAATCATGAATGAACATTGATCATAAACGTGATTAGGTGTTCTGAAGGTGTTCTTAATGTGTGTCTGCGACTCTCTTGGTTCGCAGGGCCAGTGCAGGCTCAAATGCTGCTCGAGTTTCCCCTTCGTCATACACAATCATTAAGTTACATGTGGAAGATTCTGTTTTAAAGGCCATCTGAGAATTTTCAGTGGCTCAGCCATACGTTGGGCAGGTAAACACTTACCTGCCACTTTATTAGGTACACCTGTCCAACTGCACATTAATTCAAATTTCTAATCAGCCAATCACATTGCAGCAACTCAGTGCATTTAGGCATGTAGACGTGGTCAAGACGATCTACTGCAGTTCAAACTGAGCATCAGGATGGGGGAAAAAAGGTAATTTAAGTGACTTTACTGAACTACTCTGTTCCAATTACTATGACCATTTATGTGAAGCTGCTTTGACACAATCTACATTGAAAAAGCGCTATACAAATAAAGCTGATATGAATTGAATTGAATTGAAAAGTTTGAACGTGGCATAGTTTTTGGTTCCAGACAGGCTGGTCTGGGTATTTCAGAAATAGCTGATCTACTGGGAAACCTTGAGGCAGATGAGCTACAGCACGGAAGAACACACCTGTCTAAGAACAGGAAACTGAGGCTACAATTTGCACAGGCTCACCAGAATTGGACAATAGAAGACTGGAAAAACATTTCCTGTTCTGATGAGTCTCAATTTCTGCTACATCAATCTGATGAAAGGGTCAGGATTTGACGTCAACAACATGAAAGCATAGATCCATCCTGCCTTGTATTTCAGTCTGCTGGTGGTGGTGGTGGTGGTGTAATGGTGTGGGGAAGATTTTCTTATCACACTTTGGGCTCATTAGTACCAATTGAGCATCGTGTCGACACTACAGCCTACCTGAGTATTGTTGCTGACCATGTCTATTCCTTTATGACCACAGTGTAACATTCTACTTCCAGCAGGATAACGCGCCATGTCATAAAGCGTGAATCATCTTAGTCTGGTTTCTTTATCATGACAATGAGTTCACTGTACTCAAATGACCTCCACATTCACCAGATCCTCAATCCAATAGAGCACATTTGGGATGTGGTGGAATGGGAGATTCGCATCATGGATAGACAGCCGACAAATCTGCAGCAACTGCATGATGCTATCATGCCAATATAGACCAAAATCTCTGAGGAACATTTCCAGTACCTTGTTGAATCTATGCCACAAAGTGTGAAGGCAAAAGGAGTCCAACCCAGTACTAGTGAAGTGTAGCTAATAAAGTGTACATATTAATAATTAATACATAAACAAGCACAAAAAAGTAATGATAACAAGAAATCATTTTATTGCTATGTCTAGATCACGAGAAAATCAAAGTCATGATCACCAGAAAAAATATTAGCATGCATGTCCTCCTAGGACTTCTGTAGTAATGTGCCTACCAGTGCCTGAATTTGTGTGCATGACCTACTGTTTTATTATCTAAGGAGCTGAAATGCGCTTTTTATTTTCATATTTATTTCACATTTTTGAAACTGCTCTGATGCAGATATGGTTCCATATAAAACCACAGAAACTCCAAGTAAATGTAATGACAAAATGTCACTGTCTGATTGTCAAACACTAGTAGAGATGCATCAGTCAACAAGCCATAAATCAGTTTTATTTCGGACGATCTAAGGTCTGCATTTGCACACAAATGGCATTGCAATCAATTTTTATTACAAAGACTGTAAATGGAATGTTAACAGAGATGTTGAAGTCGCCGAAGACGGATGTAGCGACCAGGAGCTAAGCAAATGCCTCAGCAACTATGGAAAAACACAAAGCATTGTGTAATAAAATAATCAAACCTAATCAAACAATAACTGCAATTCTGTAAACTTTTTGATTTGGTGGATTTCACATCAGCTTTCCACAGGTCATAATGCCCACATTTGCTGCTTTAAAGGGTTTAGTTAGTGGGGTTTCATTGGTTCCTTTCCTAAAAACAAACCAGAAATTCTGTTGAATAAGATGTTTTATGATATTAACATTTGTTCATTTCATATTTCTGATGTTTTTATACACTAAAAGATGCTGGGTTCAACATCATTTATTCATGTTGTCTCAACACAAATTAAGTTAACCTAATCATTTTTACACATTTAAAGGAAATAAACGTAAAACATTTTTGGTGTCTCACCCAAAAAACTGAAGAATTGTGTTGTTTAAACTTATTTTAAATAATGAATCGGAACAAGCAGCATTTTTGAGTGTATTATCATTGGGTTAAAAGACTTTATGAACAAGTTTTTTGTGCAGTTTTTCATTATAAGTCAAATGTATGTTTCTTTTTATGTGTTTTAAAATGGAAAAAATAAAAAAGATATTGTTTGTTTCACTTAAAAATCTTGATTTTATTGTTTAGCAGACTGCTAATCTTAGCCAAAGTCCCTTTAAGGTCATTTCACTCAGCGGATATCTTTGAAACACCTCTCATGCAGTATGCAGTATGGAGGCATTCTGTCTAAATTGGGAAACATTAAATTCTCCAAAACTGCTTGCCAAGCTTATTGAATTTCATATTAGGAATCACCAATAAAATAAACATCAACTGTGTCTTTAGATTGTTTCTAAATTTATCAAAAAAACTAAATCTGCAGAAACTCACGTCTGGTCTCAGCCCCTCCCCCAGAGTATTGTCAGTCTATTGTGAGCGATGATTGGCTTCTGTACTAGAAGGCGGGCTTTATTCGCCATATAGCTATTGATGATTGGCTCCTGTACTAGTAGGCGGGCTTTTTATTCACCGTATTGGCAGTTACACTTTTCTCCATTAAAAAAGATACGAGTGACATGTCTTGTGTATTTGTCTTAACATTGAGCTTCATTTAGTACATTTGTGCATCAGTTGATTGTATCTTATGTGTGGTGTATTTGGATGTTTTTGAAAAATACAAAAAATACAGCACCTATAACAGGCAGAGCAGTTAATTGGTCATGATGCATGAAATAAAGGAAAAATATTAGATTCAAATATTCCTCCAATTGGGCCACGCAGTGGCGCAGTAGGTAGTGCTGTCACCTCACAGCAAGAAGGTCGCTAGTTCGAGTCTCGGCTGGGTCAGTTGGCGTTTCTGTGTGGAGTTTGCATGTTCTCCCTGCGTTCGCATGGGTTTCCTCCAGGTGCTCCGGTTTCCCCCACTGTCCAAAGACATGCAGTACAGGTGAATTGCGTAGGCTAAATTGTCCATAGTTTATGAGTGCGTGTGTGTGTGAATGAGTGAGTGTGGATGTTTCCCAGAGATGGGTTGCGGCTGGAAGAGCATCCGCTGCGTAAAATCGTGCTGGATAAGTCTGGGTTCGGTCTGGTGGTCCTAGACTAGCACCACCAGAATAAGAATCTTTGTAATATCCTTACGCCTAATGCATTCATTGTATGCAAGCAAAGTTCCTTGATTATTATGCCATTATGAGACTATAATTACAAGCCATATCAGCCTAAAAAAAGCAACTTTTCATTTTCAATTGCTTTTAGTTGATGATGTATCTACAGAAGAGTCAAGCTTTAAATAGGAAAATTATCTTTTTTAACGTTTTTTGTTAAGCTTAAAGTGCTTTTAAAAGCTAAAAGTGCTGCTGACAGACTTGAAGATTGGCTGAATAGGTTCAAAAATAGTAAAATTAAACTCCAAAGGAGTTGTAAAAAGAGCTTATTTCCTAAACAAGAAAAAAAGAGAAAGAAATCCGAAATTGGAATTTCTTTATTATAAAGCCAAAATAAGACTATAATTCTTATCAGCCTAAAAAAGCAACTTTTTTCCACGGCTTCCAGTTCACGATGTAATTACAAAAAAGTCAAGCTAATGGTCTAATCTGATTTAATGATTTATGCTAAGCTATGCTAAAAGTACTCCTGCCAGACCCGAAAATTGGCTGAATAGATTCAAAAACACTATAACTACACTGTTTAACTCTAAAGGAGTTGTAAAATGAGCTTATTTCCCAAAACGTTTCTTAATGATTATGCCAGAATGAGACTAATTATGAGCCATATCAGCCTGAAAAAGCAACTATGTAGTTTTATTGTTCATTGCTTTCAGTACACAATGTAACCACAGAGGAGTCAAGCTTAAAATAAGAAAATTATTGAAACCATTTTTGTTTTAATTTTGGCTGATGCTAATGGTCTAATCTGATTCAATGATTTATACTAAGCTAAAAGTGCTACTGCCAGACCCGAAGATTGACTGAATAGATTCAAAAGTAATAAAAAAAAACTGTTCAACTCTAGAGGAGTTGTGAAATGAGTTATTACCCAAAAAAGAGAGTTTTTCTTTTATTATTATGCCAAAATGAGATTATTTCCTAGCCATATCAGCTGAAAAGTTTCCAATTTCTCTTAGATAGCAAACAATGTAACTACAGAGGAATCAAGTTTTTTTTTTTTTTTTTAACTCTTTGAGTGAGATGCTAATGGCCTAATCTAATTCAATGATTTATGCTAAGCTAAGCTAAAAGTACTCCCGCCAGACCTGAAGATCGGCTCGATAGGTTCAAAAATTGTCA